TTCCCATTCTTTGGTTCGCAAGATAACAAACAAGTTTCTCAACTGGCGAGGTTTTACATATAGTGGCCTATGCGCTGTGCCCAGCAGCAGCTACCGTGGAAACCAGATACAACAGGGATGGTGGGACCAGAGAAAAAGTCATGTTATATCCGATCCCTGTTAAATCAGAAAGGCAAAAGAAGTAAGCATTTCCGGACTAATCCAGCTGTATTTATTCACTGGTAGTTTCCCTTGCCACAAGTACGCACGAACAGGGGTTTTGACCCTGTGTCAGGCCTGCGCATGGCACATTACGTGTGCATGTAGCTAGGCTGAGGGCTAGATTAGATCGAAGTCTGCGGCACACCGCAGCCTTCTCTCGCTTCTCCCGCTGCGTGTGCTTGCAGTGACGTGGCTTGTGTGGGCTTACTCCATCACTGTGTTACTCTCTCTCTCTCTCTCTTACTTTTTACACATTGTTAACGAGCTTTTGTCCCTGCTATAACCGATTGGGCTCCGATGAGACAATGTTATTGCCGATAACTTTTAATAGAGACAAAGAATAGGAAAAAACGAGGATTTTAAAAATCCCTGTTATTACCGGATCCCTGTTATTTCCTGGCCTGTCATTAATTACATGGTTTCCACTGTATATTCCGCTATAAAATAACCGACTCGCGTGTTTGTCTGATTGCATAGCTAGCAGCATTTTATTTACAAAGATAAAGAAGGTAAAAAACGGGGTTTTAGAAAAGTGTCTTTAAAACAGACTTCTCGTTATTTCAGGACTCATTATAAGTATAAGTGGATTTCACTGTATACTGTAGAAGTATTTCTTATTCCGTGCCGATCAAGTCAGTTCTATCCAAATCTTATTGGCCTCAAGTTCAATCAAAGTCTTGAAGCTCAGATTTACATTTTGAAGTTTGTAACGGCATGGATTTTCTTCTACTACGAGTCATAAACCCTTTTCATATAGTACCCCCCCCCCCCCCCTCGCTCTCTCTCTCTCACTCACCAAACGATTGATCCGCCCAGCGCGCCCCCCTTTCTTATTCTTTTTTAAAAATTATTATATGAAGAAAAAATAACTAAATTAAGACTTAAGAAGCGGGATCTTAGCCGAATGTAGCTCCTTAACAGTACGGGATCTTAGGCGGAGACTTTTATATAGCAAAAATTATATTTTTCCAAAACAGCTGGATCTTAGGCAAACCGGGACCATAGGCGGTTGGATTTTAGGTGGGGGAGTACTGTATACCTACTGTGGATTCTGCTTAAATGGAAAACTTTTAAGCCAAGAAGGAGTAGTAAACAGGAAAGAAAATAAAATTCCTGATTTTCTCTTTTCCCTTCTAAACCGAAAACTGCTAAAACTGAAGAAAATCTGGCGGTGCAGCATATTCCAGTTTAATATCAGACTCCACTGTCTAGAGAAAAAACCGTCTGAGGTGGGAATAAAGGTACCTTATATTTTTTTCAGTTATCAGATTTTTGAAACTCCTGCGTTACCGAGTAAAAAAAAGGTTGCACAAGGGCCCAGCAATCTGATCTGAGCAGGAAAGAAAGGAGGTTGCCAAGCACGTTTTTTGTCCTTTTCGTAAGCATTCCGGCTCAAAAATAGAAACTGCCGCGAACGGAAGGAAAT